ATGGTCACGGTATCTTTGCGAGGATGCTCAGGGAGTCTTTACTGTGAGTGTCACTCCCGCGGGCTGCCTTTTTGGAGAACGTGGAAGATGGTGGTGCTTCCATGGTGTTTTAAGCAGTAGTGCTTCTGGTGTTGTGTGGAGATTCTGTGAATGTATGCTTGGAGTTCTGGCCACAGTATCTTGGCGAGGAGGCTCAGAGAGTGTTTGCTCTGGGTGCCATTCTGATGGGCTGCTCTTTTGGAGCACATGGAAGAAACGGGGACTTCCCGCTTGTTTTAAGCAGTAGCCGTCCCGTTGTCACGTGAAGATCTTTTGGTCTTTTGGATTATGGTACTCTATACACTCCAAAGGCTAGACAGCAGATGGAGAGTGTTTAGCCATGGAGTGATGGAGATAGTGGTGGTGTGTGTGTTGTTTGGGAGGAATAGGAGTGCCAGTGCTGCTGTGCTTGTGGGCTAACTCGGAGGGCTCTCCAAGTTCTTTCGGACTATGCTGCCTCTGGTCGGTGCTTTCTTGTGGGTGGAGCCTTCTGTGTTAGGTATGTTGTCTTCTGCCCTTTATAGTTTGAAAAAAATATGTATAGTTGTGCAAGTGTGCCGCATCGTCTGCCCTAGTTTGAAAAAACTATGTATAGTTGTGCAAGTTTGCGGCTTCGGGGCAGACGGGTGTGTGGGCACTTCCAGCTCGACCACACAAACATGGGGAAACTTGCAGCTTCTGTCATATTGCTCATCTATACTTTTTTTTGTTTATGGATGGCTTATGAAAGTTGTGATGGTATGAGGATGGAATGAGAGAGAGTTTGGGGATGTTGACTAACACACACATGCATGATTTGTAGGTGGAATGAGAGAGAGTCTGTTTTTTTTTTTCAGAAACACATTATTGGCCCTCGTCAACCGCTCTCCCCTTTCGGGGTATCTTCCACCACATCATCCTCTCCGTCTCCTACTTCCCCTCCCTCCCTCCTCCTCCTCCTCCTCCCTTCTTCCTCCCCTTCCACATCAAGTTTGTCATCCTCATCCCCAACCTCACATTCACGGTCAGATGAGCCATTACAGATGCCTCGTCGATGCAGACATGTGTCACCTCCGACACCACCTCCTACACAGAGGTCTCGTCTGTCCGTGAACAGTATGATACCTTGGCGGTAGACAAAGATTGTCACTCCGACTACACACTCGCCGGGAACAGTGCATATCAAGTGCGCTGTCCACAATGTGGCGATGGTGTTTCAGTGCTGCGGGATTGCATGTGCACCAGACACAAGGTGCGGCCATATGCGCAGCATTCACACAAGTACGGGCTTCCCCCGAACACAACGCACACTCGTTATGGCTGTACCAGGCTTGCATACCCTTGTTATCAGGTTGTGATGTGCCCGGAGGAAGACTAGCAGCCCTTCTGAGTGCACGTGTAGCTGAACAACCTCCGGTTCCTGCAAACGACTCCCCCGGTCGTAATCCAATTCGCCCCGATCATTCCTGATGACATCCAACCGACTCCAAATGACAATGACTCGTGCCATTGTTTAACTGACTCCAAATGACAATGAATCGCGCCCTCACATTCTTGATGGAATCCCCAAGTTGTATCTACAGTAGTCTGCTCTGGTGGTGAATACTGAGAACCCTATGATGTCTGCTTCCCCTGAACCCATCTTCCTTTCCTTCTGCCTCCCTTTTCTCATGCAGTACTTCTCCCTCCCATCGGATCGGAGCTGGGCACCGGGCGCCCAGAGCCGCACCCACGTGCACCCACCCGACCCACAGGGTGATGGGTCGGATTTAGGTCTACATGAACTGTCTTGGGTGGGTTATGGGCGGGCGCAGCCAGCATGCCTTTCTGGGTGACGGGCGGGTGAAGATTTGACCTGGGTCACCCGCTGGGTGGGTGGCAGGCGGGTGATGGATTGGCCTGGGTCACCCGACCCATAGACCCAGGATCACCCGGAAATTATGCCCCCCCCCCCCCCCCCCCCCCCCCCCCCCCCCTCTTCCTTGTGTAGTACGTTGGGCTTGAGGTTCAGAGCCAAAGAAAAAAGTGTCTGATTCAGTTGACCAGGTCCCGATGAAGTAACGCCGGTGCAAAAGCAGTGCAGCTGCCCCTGGGCAAAAAAAAAAAATCTTGAAATATTTTCCTTTGAGAAGTTCGAGTCGCATTGTTGATGAAACGGTTTTCACCTTTCGGCAGTCATGGATACGGGCCCTAGAGCTCGATCCCCAGACCTCACTTTGCCCATGTACAGTACCGAGTCGACCCCTGAGTGTTTGAACCCGTGATCTGTGTTTTGGTAGTTGTTTGTCGTCTGTCGTAGGTCCGTGTAGCGGCAGGGGTTTGATCTGTAGGTCTGTCGATTAGGAGTCACAGTTCTGTAAAGGTCGTGGCTGTAGATGCTCTGAAAGGTCAAGGTCGTAGCTGCTACAGTCCGGAAAGGTAAAGGTCGTAGCTGCTACAGTACCCGAAAGGCCAAGTCCACAGCCTTCCGGAAGGTCCGAAAGTGGCTTTTCGAAGTGCCCCACGTTTAGTTAGAGGCAAGTGGGCAAGTGGTGGGCCTTTAGTCAGAGGCAAGTGGGCAAGTGGTGAGCCAACTGTGTTACGTCGGCAACGCGACTGCATCGAGTTGGAAGTGCAAACCCATGCTGTCAGCGGCATCGGTCCCAGTCAGTCAGAGTCCAGTCAAGCAAGTACCGCGTGGGACTGTGTGCACCAAGGGCCTGGGAAAGGGGCAGACCAACGAGTTACAGAAGTATAAATCAAGAGGCAGCACCCAGCCATTCATTCATTCGCTGCGTAAGCCATGCGGAAGCGCTGCCACAGCGTCTTGTGCGAAGGTGGTCTGCAGGTTGCCCGAAGACAAAGTGGGCTGAAGGGAGATCGTAGGCATAGTAGTAGTGGCGAGCTGCTATAGCCGCCGTAAGGTAGAGGTACCTGATAGAGTGTGTGTGTGTGGAGTATTCAGGGTGATCCAGAGTGAGCATGTGCAAGTAGTGGTGTCGGACACAGTGACGAGAGTGGGATGTACAGGCGCTGGTGCACCATAGCCTGTTGAAGTGAATTTGCAACTGAACTGTGTTCTCGTTGTCCATATCTCTGAGCTTTGAGTGGGCGTTCTGCGCCAGCGTGAATCGCCGTCTGTTTGCATGTATGCGAAGTGGAAAAGGAAGACGAGTCTGATAGCATTGATGTTGCCTTTGTTTTAATAATAGTATTTTAGATGTCTTTGATGCAATGCTATGTTGCCGATGAAATCATGATGGTGTAAGGGACTGGCATGGGCAGGCACGGGCTGATGCGGGTGGGTGCGGGTGAAGAAAATTTAGGTATTGGATGATACTCTTACGGGTGCGGGCGGGTGTGGGTGAGGTTTTTTTTCGGGTCACGGGTGAATCGGGCGTGGGGCTGAAATATCAAAAAATATTTTGGGTGGGTGGGGTTGTCTAAGAGTAAAAAATAAAATTCTTGGGTTGGGTGGATGGGGAAAAAAAAACTTTGGGCGGGTTGGGTCAAGGGTGAGGGGAAAAAAAAATTGCCCACCTCTGCATTGGATTAATTGTCTCCGTTTGTCTACAACAAACCCCTAAAGCCCTAATGCTGTGCGCTGATAAGAGCGTAATGCTGGACAGCAATAAATTTTGAAAATCTAAGCTGCCGGCCTTTGGATCTCAAGATGTGCAGACGGTCTCTTTTGGGAAATGTGTGCAGGCCTATCTGATTGACACGTAGCATTTTGACGAAATTCTATGTTTGATTCCTCGATTTTGGCTGATCAAATGTGGAATCCTTAAAAGACAACAGGTTTGACGTTGTACTTTGTCAGAAGAGAGTTCTTTGTTTTGTTTTTTGTGTTGACAGTTTTCTTTTTTCGAGACCCGAACCTTCGAGGTGTGCATCGTCGGGGAAATTTCTGGATGAAAGAATTCTTGCCTTTGTTCTTTTTTCTCTGTCCAAGTCTTTGCCGTTTTTTTTTTTTTTTTTTTTTTTTCGACCTAGCAGGCCGCTCGGAAAAAAAGTACCGAAATCCTGAAATAGAGAAAGGAAAGAAAAACATAAACCAATGTGCCTAGGGGTCTCACTGCACTACTGACCACATGCGCAAAAGATAAAAATTATGCCGGGGTATCTTCCCATGTTGTAACGGAACATCCATTCTCATTTTGCATTTCGAGTGAGGCCCTAATCTCAGTTGGTACACCCATAAACTGCTGAAATACAGACAAGTTCGAATGCAGACATCTCGGCAGGGTGATCGGCCAGTGATCTGATATACCTGCCGTGAGCAGTCTACATGGAGCCAGCTACCGTGACCGGCGACCGACCTGAGCCAAGTAACCTACCTACCCTATGTGAACTTGCTGCCGTGGCACTCCGTAGTGCTAATCAAGCGCTACCCAGGCGTCTCTCTCTCTCTCTCTCTCTCTCTCTCTCTCTCTCTCTCTC